AAAGTAAAATTTGCCTAAAAGCTCTATTGAGGTATGTGTGGCTAAAACCCCCTCTTCTTAGAAATTGAACCCCCATGGTGTCCATGCAAATGTTGTAAGTTTCAAAAATTGATCGATGTAGTGGTTGCTATTTCAAATGAATTTGTGTTGCAAGAATATATATGCAAAGTGTGTCTCAATGCTTTCATTATGCTATTTTGTCAATTGAGAATGTGTGAAGAATGTGGAACATGTGCTAAAATGCCTAGACTTCTAGTCAGTTTGAATTGAGATTGTTATGCCGAAATATGTGAAATCCTCTTTATGCTTATGACTTATAATTTCTCTCGTATGTGCCTATTATCTTGAGATGAAAGGTTTAATATTGAAAGTGGCAATGATGTGAAATGTGGGGGAAAGGAGCTTGGGTTATGAAATGTGGCCTAGTGCCAAGTATGATGTAATAATTGTGGCCCCGAGTGCTGATGAATTGATATATGTGAAATAAATGTGGAATGAGATGATTGGTGGAAAATGGAAATGTCTTGAGTAAGATGGCCTAGCCGATCGGACCGTGATCGGACGCCATGCCGCACACATGGTGGTACTGTGCTAATATTGAAACTGGAAAGTGACAATGAAATTGTGATTGAGGTACATGTCTCAAATGAGACAACCTAGCTGATCGGGTCGTGATCGGACTCCACACAAGAAAGCGGTGGTATTCTGTATGATGGTGTAATAGTATTAAAACGTCCAACCTAAGGTTATGGAAAATCATTTGGAATTGAGATTATAAAGAACGTCTCCAGTGAGATGACCTAGCCAATTGGGTCGTGATCGGACTCCGTGCCAAGAGTACGGTGGCATTATGAATAGTGGCATTGTGAACAGTGGTATTGTGGATAGTGGTATCGTGAACTGTGGTATTATCGGTATTAAAGATCTCCCAACTAAAAATATGTATTACTTTCGTATTTTGAAAATTGTTATGTTTCAATTGGGCATTTGGATATTATTGATTATGACTTGTTGTTTCTATGGCTTTCCTTTTCTTGTATGGTTATTCTATTTTGAAAGATGAATTTTAACTTTACATACTAGTACTATTCGACAGTACTAACTTCCCTTTTGCCCGGGGCGCTGCATTTTTAATGGATGCAGGTGTTTCCACAGTAGGCGGCAGTGATCAGTGATAGCGATACGCTCCTTTCAGCTAACTTGGTGATCCCCACTTCATTTCGGGGTCCTGTGTCATTTGGTTATCGTGTACTTTGTATTTTGAGGTATAGCCAGAGCCTTGTGCCGGCCTTTCCATATTATTCTTCAGTTGTATTTAGAGGCTTCGTAGCCAGGTTGGGGGTGGTGTTTGGTATTGGAAATTTAATTAGAAATATTGGTATTTGACAAATATATTTTTCTTCATATCTATAAAAACTGTAACATTTTGGATATTATGGTTAAAACTGCTAATGGAAAGAAAATGGAAGTTGTTTATGAAATATTTACAAAGTATGATTGATGGAGTTCATCTCCTCTTTATTCATGAATTAGTTTGGGTAGAATGAAACCTATCAGGCTTGCTCAGTCGGGTTCACTCAGTTGAGCACCGGTCGCGCTCCTCGGTTTTGGGGCGACAAACTTGGTATCAGAGCCTAAGGTTTTAAAGTGCCCTAGGATGTCTCGGAGCCGTGTCTAGTAGAGTCCTTCTTATCGGTGTGTTGTCGACCACATCTATAAGTTGGAGGCTATTCGGATATTTAGGAATTTCACCCTTCTTTGATACTCTAGATCGTGCGGTAGAACCCAAGATAGGGAGCTAATTTCCTCGCTATTCCTTATTCTCAAGATGAGTAATCTTGAAACTATAATCCATGAGTTTGAAGCAGTAAGGAGGGAATGACTCCACCATTGAATCTGAGGGGATTGCCCAAGAGTTTGTTGGGAGAATGTATCTAGCCATGGAGGGATTGTTAGAACTTGTTGCTAAGGGGAGTACCCTTGTTCCTATTAATGTCACTGCACCACCAGATCATGTAGTATATCAGTATCTTACCAACGTGCGTTAGGGATGTGGAGTCGAGGGGCATCGATAAAGTTATTTCCCTATCAACCTAAAGTCACCAAGTAAGTCACTCCTCAGTACATCATTATGAACTACCCAAAATTTTACTTGTTGTACATGTACATCCATATTGAAGAGTTCTCATAGACATGGTCTTAACAAGATGTTGAATCACAAAACATTGCATGCACCTACTCTTTGAACGCGACGCATTATTCGTGAATCCACTCTATCACAAATTCTATTATTTACATCTTTTTATGGAATTAAGTTCTATAATTATGTCTTTGAATTGAGTTATAACTCTAGGATTAATACTTCCCACTTGCTTGCCTAAATTCTCAACAAGGGACTATACCCGATGAATTTCTTACAGAATCTTTTTATTTAAATGGACAACATCTACTCACTTGTGCCTATACATGCACCGTCGTAAAGTTTACCTATGTGGTGTCAAGTTCCATGTAAAGCATCCCAGTGTTGCGATCCTTCTCGAGTCACTCTTTTACTCACTAGTGTATATGGCTTCTATGGTTTGAACAATCACTCTACTCTCTTGCGAATATCATCACGAAACCTTCTCACCATCTAGTAACTTAAGAGCATACCTTAACACCTATCATATGAGTGCATGTCAATCGGAATGGTCACTGTGTGCATAAAGTCTCTGTGAAAATTGAGATCCTCACATCTACGTCATAGGAAGATCTTGTGTCGCCATCTTAGTATAACTTTCGTGTCCACTTGAGACATCCCATAGCCAATAGCTCACTTTGTTCCTAGTATTGTGGTTGTCCGTGACGTCGTCTTGTATTGAAGTTGGGAGTTAATATAGCAGAAGCATGTCCAGCTTATAACAAATATTTATTTTCTCTTTATACCTCCACCACATGTGTTAATTGTGTTCCTTAGTTAGTGAATTCACTATGCTAGTTTCCTAACACTTGTTCGATAACTACGAGAGAATGTGTCCTTCTATGTGTCACTGTAACACTTCCTTTCTCATAAGGACCCTTAATCTATGAACGAGTTAAGCATCATATCTTTGAGCTATTTATTGTACCACTTTTATTATATTATTATGAACTGGTGCTGGTTATTGGTGTTGGACTCTGAACTTTGTCCCAGCTCGTCACTACTTTCAACCTAAGGTTAGGTTTATTACTTATTGAGTACATGGGGTCGGTTGTACTCATACTACACTTCTGCACCTTGCGTGCAGATGTTGGATGCTGATGTTGCTGTTTATGGCGGGAGTTGGATTTGAAGACGTACCTGCATTCCAGTCATAGCTGCCTCTTGATCTTGGTAGCTTTAGAATTTTAATCTGCTCATGTATATTTCAAACAGATGATGTATTTATTTTATATCAGCTTTGTAAACTCTAAATCTTAGAAGCTCATAATTTGTACTACCAGTCCCTGGGAAAGGTATAAAGATTCAGATATTTTATCATTTATTTATCTCCATAAGTCTCATTAAAGTTGTTAATTGGCTTACCTAGCGGGTTGGGTTAGGTGCCATCACGACTAGTTGGATTTTGGGTCGTGACATATTTCTAGCTTTAAGTGTGATTGTGCAACAGAAAATCATAATGAAAGCATTTACTCATAATCAACATGAAACCAAATTCTTCAATTCATACAAAAGAAATGGATACAAAAACAGAAACCAAAGGGAAATCAGCCCCTTCTAATTCTAGATACCACAAACAAAATTCCAAAACTTCATGGCGTAATTCTACCTAACAAAAATAAGGTTCATGGTTACACAACACCTCCTGCATTTGAACAACCAAAAATATACATTGAAACATAACTTAATAATAAGCAACATCTTCAAATTTTTTCTCTTCTTCAATTCAACCTCAAATTATATTTTATCCTTCCGTAAGCCAAGAATTAACGCCTTTGATTGGCCTGGAAATTTCGGATTGTACCACTGGAAAAACCACAAGCCACACGATCCTTAGCTTGAAAAATTTAATCAAACCATTAGGAATAAAATAAAATAAAATCTTGGCCAAAATATATCACATAACATATGATGATTTGAAAGATGATTTCCCATAGTGTTTGCATCCAATAAAACGTCTTCATGTATTAGCATTTATCGTTGATGTTCTCGAAGATGCTGGCTGCCCAAAACCATAAAAGACATTAAATCTCATGCACGGCAAATACTTGAATGAATGTTCCTTCTTTAAAATAAATTTGGTTAAAAAATAAAGGATGGAAAGCGAAATAGATAGATAAACTCAAAAATAACAAGAGAGGGAATTTGAGATGGATTTAAATGAAGGAATGAAGAAAAAGGTGAAAAAAATGGAGAAGAACGATAAAAAATGAAGAAGGAAAGTGAACATAAGAAAAAAGAGGAGAAAATAAAAAGAAATATATATTTTTTTTAAAAAGCGTTAATTAGTTATGAGACATTGTTAGGTGGATTATTTTTATGACTTTTATCAGTTTTCATACGCTTTTTGGTGATTTATTATACACATTGTGTTACATAAGCAACGAGAGTTTTAATAAGAAGGGTTATATAGTTTAGGAGGGTGGGTTTTGGGTATAGGTAATAGTTTAGGTAGGCATGTCACAAAAGTTGTATAATGTAGGGTATTAAGTATTAATAGCTTGTTTGACCAAGCTTATCCAATTTTAGAAGCAATTTTTTTCAAAAAAAAGTCCTTTTTTTTTTCAGAGTTAAGTATTTGGCCAAGCTTTTGGAAGAAAAAAGTGTTTTTGAGGAGAAACATAACTATTTTTGGAGAAGCAAAAAAAGTAGTTTCTCTCCAAAAATACTTTTATGAAAAATAACTTAGAAGTAGCTTTTAAACGCTTGTTGCTCAAAATTGCTTTTTAAATTAATTAGCCTACTGCTTCTTGCCAAAAGTAAGAAAAAAAAAAAAAAAAGAACTTTTACATTTTTCCAACTTGGCAAAAATAGTGTATTAACTGTCAAGTATATATTTCCTAGCAGTCCCAAAAAGCCCTCCACTCTTCATTGTCTCCTTCCATAGACTTCACTTCTTCTGCGAATTGGGAATGGCGAACGCTGCATCAGTTTCAACATCATCAAAAGGAAGATGGAGCAACCTCTCCAAATACGCTTCTAGAATTTATTTTGTCCTCATCTTCCTTCAGGTCCCTTTGTTCAGGTATTTCTGCAATTACATTAAAATAATAGCCTATTTCCTAGATACTTACAAATGCCATATTATTGTGATTCCAACGCAATAAGATACTATACATCGATTTATGTACTGAGGAGTCGCGACTAAAGTTCGTGTCTATGTAGATCTGAGTTCGTTGAATTAAATGAAGCTTCTTCTTTCCCTTTTTTTTGTTGTCATAAGTGGTCTTTGATTGTAGTAGTTATAGTTGATGCTAATTTTGTGATGTTGACTTGTGAGTATTTTCAGTGACTAAGTGTTTCCTAATTATCTTGCATTAATGTTATTGAATTTGGACTAACACAGTCTTCTAGATCTTGATTTGGTACATTTATTATGGTAAGTCGTGATTCATTTGTTTAGGCGAATCCAGTATATGGATATGGGTGCCACTGAACCCATTGACCACTTGAGTTAATGTGTATGGGATTTAATATTTGTACATATTTAGTAGAATTCTTAACACTTATATAGGGGCTGAGTCGAAGATATTTGGGTTCAGCCGAGCCCATAGCTTATACAGTACATTAACCACTAATTTGCTTAACTTCATTTGGGAAATAAATGGAGCTTCAAAGACATTATTTTTGTCTAGGTTAGTTGTTGTTTATTTCTCCAAATTTATGGGGATTCCTAACAAAGTTTAACATGATTGAATTTCAATTATCACAAAAATATCTGGATTTTATAAGTGTTCTATGCATTTATTTATAGTTGATTGCTCTTATTACCATTCCCATCAACTACGCTGTTAGATTCAGTTCGTAGAATCTTTTGATGTAACTCCATAACTTTGGTAGAGAGACTATCTTAATTGGGAAGAGACTATAAGTTAATCTGTTGAGGGGCAGAGGACAGAAATGAAATGGAATGTCTTAAAATACTCCAGATCTAGTCTTCAGACAGTAGCACTGTAGCGGGTTGAATTCTCAGGAATTCTTTTGCAGTTTGACGTCAGATCTTAATTACCTGTTCAACTCATACTTTATTTGTGTTGCTAAATTTCCAAGTTGTGCATTAAGGACCTTTTTGGAGGGTACTGCTTGTCATCTTATTCATTCATGATATGCATGACAATTCTGATAATAATCCAGACTCTAATTGTACATTTCTACCACATCCTACATACTGCAAGCATCTTGCTTATTGTAGAATTTTTTATGCTGTTGACCTGTTCATGCATTAGAAGGCCAGGGGATTTAAGAAATTACATATAATCTAGGAACAGTAAATGTGGCGAATTCTTAGTTGAATTCAAACTTTAATATATTAGCTTATTCCGAATTTTGAAAACTTTATGGCAATTATCATTATATCCAACATGGAATGTATATTTTTGTGTGTGTGTGTATATATATGTATATATATATATATATATTTTTTTTTTTTTTAATTGTATAAATATTTACCCCTAATTAATTTGTACTAATCTAGTTTAGTCTAAAATGATTAATTAACTCTAAATGAAAATAAAATAAAATAGATAAACCTAACCTGTACATCTGGAGAAAACTTGAAAAGAAGCAATATTATCACTACAATCCTAATGTGCACACAAAGTTACCATAAATTGATATAGTAACATTCAGAAAATTTAGGAAAGGTTTAGGACTTCTTACCTAGTTCAAATAAGAAATGATTTAGTAAGAAGATTTTTAGTTGTTTTCAAGCACTAAATTTTTTTTGAAAGGCAAAGTCCTAAATTTTAGAGAAATAATTAAATGACAATTTTGCCCAATGTGAAATCTATTTTTAAAGAATAAAAAATGCGAACAACATTTATGTAACGCGCTTCGTGCTTGATCAGTTCACTGTGTCTCATACTCATACTGAGAACTTGATTTGTATCTGTTGTTCCTCTTGCTAGAGTGCCTCAAAATCTGTTTCCTCCACTTAGTTAATTATTTTGTCTTTTTTCAGATGTGGAAGGTTTTTTTGCCATTATGTTTTTTGAGAAAACTATCTAGAATTTTAGGACATTTGGACAGAGCGAAATGATTAAATATATGAAAGAGCATCATTTGCCTCGTGTATGGCAAAGAGTGAGACCTTTTTCCTTATTCTTTTTTGATAAGGTGGAGAGTGATACTGTAACACCATGGGGAGATGTCAAAGCTTTTAACGCTGCATGAAATAGCTAATCTCATCAACTTGTATTTGGGTCATTTAGGCTAGAAGTTTCAATGAAAAGGTTTAACCTTCTTAATTGAGAGATACTATTGTCATCTGAATTTCCTCGTGTGAGTGGTATCGCTGAACCAAGTTTCTCTTAAACCTAAGATGAGGAAGTGAATTGGTAACCCACATAAGGTTTAAGCTCTGCATTCTTGTTCTCGAGTAGAGGTCTATTTGGATTATAGAAAGTGGCAATGCTCAATTAGAGACTATTTTGAGTTTGGTTCCCGCTTAAACTTTACGTTATTTAAAAAAAAAAAGAGTTTGGTTCCCGCTTCAGTAATAGGTCTTGGACAAATTGAAGCAACCTTATGTAAGTTTCAAAAATCCGAAATGCTTATTTTATGAGCTTGACGAGCAACTGCAGTAAAAGAAACTAATGACCTTCATGGCTTTCATAGGACCAACTCTTGGGTTGGAAAGTTGTCGATATGATTCTTTACCAGTTTTTATTGCCTCTGTCAGAATAGTCGAAAGGAAAGAAGCTTTGATCCTAAGACTAATGTCCAATTGGATTCAATCATTTTATCTGGATTGGGTCTAATGATATTTTTGACTCCTTAACTGTAGACGAGCTCATATCCTCTACTAGTTAATCTTTTTCGTTATATGCGCCTAACTATACTTGTGTAAAATGTTAAAATCAAGAAAAAATCAATGTAGTTATAGAATAGAATACATCTACATTCACAATAAGTTTAGATTCTTGAACATAATGGAGAATATTCCATATTGTTGCATTTGAAATCTGAGAATATCTTATACTTGAAATTATGGGATAATAACATACCTTTTTATGTGTAGAGTCATAGACTCATAGAGATCAATTACTTACCATATTATATGTGGTAAAAGTTTCTTATACAAGGAGCCCCTTTTGTACATCATTCAACAACGTCCATAAGAAGATTCCTTTCTAGCCTCCTTTTTTCAAATATTATTAGAGACTCTACAATCTTAGTAGGGTCTTAAGTAGCTTTTGCCTAATGGCGAGCGGCTTATGCTGTCTATCTATTCAAAAGTTCTCTTTCTTGCCATAACTTTAATAGTACAATCTATATTCTCTGACTGCTCCAGCAGCACCACGAGTCCTTTTCAGTGACTACCTTTTTCCGGTGATTGCTCCAATGGTACTACTTTTTCTTTCTCTTTTGACTATTCTTTGGGCCTATTCCAACTTTTTGGCTGTTTTAAGTCACTATTGTGGTCATTGTTTAGACAACATGTACCATATTCCAGTTAACTGACACGTTATTCTTTAGCATGCTAACACGTCATCCTCCAGTCAGCTGACACATTACCAATAACTTAGTGCCAGTGAATTGACATTAACATCGTCAGTTAGTGTCATTCATTGACATGTAACTGTTGTCGTCTGGTGACATGTCAACTCCAATAAGCACCACTTATTAACAGTTTTCAGTCAACGCCACATGACTGCGCTACTATACGTGCCATATCGCCATTGAGCACAACATACTTCTCCAATCAACATCTCTCCTGAGCAAAGTCATTGTCCAAAGACACATCACTGCTCTACTAGCAGCTCATTAACACCACATCACCATTCAACAACTCATTATGTTTCAGTCAACACCAAGTTGGTGTCCAGCGACACGTCTCTCGTCTCTTCTTTGGACTCTGCATCATGTCATCTAACAACACATCACTTTACATTTAGTGCCTTAATAGCATCATGTCACCATCCTCAACGTGTCATTTAGTCCGTGCAACGCCAATGCTATGTTTCCACTCAAGGACACGTCAATATCCACTGGGAACCATGTCAGCACCTAGCTGTCGTTCAATGATATGTCATTGTTTTATTCACGCAAAGTCACGTAATCGAATCGTGCCCTTTTTCGGCGCGCACAACTTGATTTCCCAGTTGAGATTTGTTGACTCAAGTTGTTTTTTTGTCAATCCTTTGCTCATTTTCCTTCTCTCTTACGGTTCTCTTCCTCTACTTTGTTTGACAGGGATAAATAATAGTACCATTTTATGAATAACAAGAAAAAGTCGCAATTTATTTTGAAATAGTTTTAGTTGGAAGTAACATGTATGTATTGACAGGCGAGAACTGAACCACAATAAAGAATATGAGACTATTTATGTAGGACATTGAAGAACATTCTGTATCTAATACTAAGATAATTTCTACCTTGTTAGACATAGAGAATAATTTACCATATAATAAATAGCGTTAAACTCCTATAAAAGAAGTCCCTCTTATTTTTTCTTTTCTGATAGCAGTGGTATCCAGGCAAGCTTGTGTGCACCTCGACTACTATATCTCACTAGCACATGTAGCGACTAACTCTCCCGATCAATGCTTAGGCAAATGGGAATAAATCAGCTAGTTGCTTTGTCTTTGTAGGGATTTCAACTTTTAATTTGAGGTAGGAATTAAAGCCTTAGAACTGCCCCGCCCTAGACCCAAACCTGTGTACAACTGGAACTGTGACAATAAATTTCGACATCGCACATCCTTTGTGCAGATCTTCACTGTGGGGATGCTAATCTCAAGTTATAGGAGTCACAAACTTCGCTATTAATTAATTCAGGTTGATCACCAAGAATCATAATGATATCAGTAGAATTAGTAAATTTCATGAAATAGTAGGGTCCACCAATACTCACTTTGTTATCATATTCCATTTCGTGTGAATAATTTGCTGATTGATACACAATCTTATATGAACTTGCAGATAATCCACCTAGGGAAAGTTGAGAGGTGACACTTTTTTGAAGTGGTTAGAGGAGTGACATCTTGCTCAAAAGCACAGAGATCCAACTCAGTAGTTGCATGGGTTAATTAGACTCGTGAACATGCTTTCTGAAAACACAGAATGAAGAATAATAAAGTTCAGTCTTCATCTTTAAGTTTTTACTCTGATCATACAGATTAGTGTAACAAATTTTCTTCGCTTCTCCTTTGTAAAAGTTGTTCGGAGTGTTTAGCAGCTTTCACCATGTTTAGTAATTGTAAAAGAAACACGTTTTACAAGAATTCTCCTTATTTCTTACTCCTTTGGCTCTACTTGTCTTCATTCAGGGTGCCATGCAGATCTGGTATGTGCTCAACACCTATGCAGGTCACATCTTCCCAGTTGATTTCCAGTGAGATATTTCCTCTACCATTAGTGAAGGCCATGCTCTATCCTGGTGCAGTTGCTAATGGCTTAATCACAAACATGAAAGTTCCAAGCTGGGATAATCTGCTTAACATCTACAACCTGACTGATGTGAAGAATGCGTCAGCTGTAACTGATCTACAGCGCTTGGAGGTATGGCGTTAAATCTATTTTTTCTCTTTAAGATTGTGTTATCCCCACACACGTGTTTGTACTGAACCTGAATATTAAAGGTACTTCTCTATATTATGACTCATTCTTAATTTCATTAATTTGTCACTGTTTCTGGATACCTTGAGTGTTAATTTGATTTTTGTTGGTCTTGTTCATTCATTCAAGCAGGATGTCCGTGTTTAATATTTTTGACTTATACTCCGTTGTTTTTTTTTTTTTTTGTTTACTCCCTTTATTTCAAATTGGTTATTCTATGTTTTATATTTGGGTTATCAGTGAACTGTTTGCATTATCTTGTATAGGATGTTCATCCATTTACACTCATTTGATACCATTTCCACATTTTACTCAAAAGGTGGCATGGACCCACTTTTATATTAGTACAGGTCCGACCTTTTCCCAAGTAAAGTTTATGTCCACTTTGGAGTCATTTTCATTAAAGCACCAAAATACACACACACAAAAAGAAAAGAAAAGGTGCTACCCTCACCTTAGCACTGGGGCCTTGTAGGATACCTGGAATCGGGGACAAAGGGAATACGTTTTTGGGAAGTGGGGTGACGAGTAGAAAAGGATATCATTCTAGGTAGAACTTTTTTTTTCCAGTAGCTATGCAAAGAAGAGATGGTTAAAATCTCTCACCTTATGCAAGTTCTCCAAAACTTGAGGTAATATCCAAAATTCCTTCTTGGGGTATGATGTTGATTCGGGGATGGAATTTTAAGAGATGCCTTACAAGCTTCATGATCTATTCTTGTGTAATGGAGATTTCTTGAAATGATTGATCGTCCTTGGTACTGCTTTATAATGAATTATCATGGCGTTTTAGTGGTGTGATGTGGAAAGTGTGGAACTGGGGCAACAATCAAATCGTATAGTAGTCTTAAAACTAATACTAATGTGATTCTCAATCTCAAATTCTGCTAATTTCCATCTTGGAATATTAACTTCAACATCTATATATATAAAAGGAGAGGCAAAGACACTATATTAAGCTAAGTGGCAGCATAATAAAAAGTCGCTTTGTAATTTTAGGACAAAAAAATAGTTATTCATAAGATTAAGTCAAGTGTCAAGATACTACAGAGCCACTTGATAAATTTTACAATTATTCATGAATTTTTTTTTAAACCAAGATAAAATTATAAAGTCTTTAACTAATATATAGAAATATTATTTGTAAATTTTGACAAAATGAAGAATGTGAATAATAGAAGGCTTCTCTCTTTAGACTTTTGAATAAAAATAATAAAAGGCTTCTCTCTTAATACTTTTAATGAATTCAAAATTACAATTTAATAAAAAAATAATGGTATTTTAATTATAAGTAAAATACTAATGGGGAAAGCTAATCAAATATAGTAGTAGAAAAAATGTATGAAAAGAGGAAATAAATATATTGTTAGGATATTTATAATTTGAATTAATTGAAAAAAATAACTTAAGTAAATATCACTCAAAAAATCTATTGATAAATTTAGACAATTGAAGATTTTGAATAGTAGACAAAGATTTGATATTATTTCGCTGAATTCTGTGCCAAGTCTCATCACTATAACATGTCAAGTTTAAATTTTTAGGATGAAACTCCAACAAAAATTTCAAAATTATTTTAAAATGGAAGATAGAAAATTAAAATAAGAAAATTAAACCTGCTATTTTTAAAATATTAATACTTCCTCACATGTTTAAGAATAAATAATACTTCCTCCCGTGTTTGTTTGGTAGTTTATTTATTTATTAAATCTTTCAATGCAAAAAGAGCATAATATTTTCTCCCACGTTTTCTTGTGCTGCAATTTGTAATTTATTTAAATACTTAATTTTTTTTACACAAACAAGAAAAAAAGAAGAAAAAAATAAATCACCCGAAAATTCAACCCCACGATTGATGTCTTCCCAAATGTGGGCTTGGAACAACAATTCGAATTGATTCTTATCCATGTTCTCCTATGCAAATAATTATTTATGCAATTTTTTTCTTTCAAGTATCCACATTAAGACAAGTGGCAACCTAATAATAAGTCACTTGGCATTGCTCAAGACAATTGGCAATATTAGGATATGATAAATAAATAATTTAGTATGGTTAATTTAGCTGATATGGTTGTGAAATGTGGCATTTCTAATTACTACCCTCCCCAGACCCCGTTTATGGGATCAAACTGGGTTTGTTGTTGTTGTTGTGGAAGTTTATTTTTATGATTTTTGTTGCTAAGTTATGTGAAAGTTGGATGTAATTTTATAACTATCAACATTATTAATTATATTTTTATTAATCTATTTCACATTGTTGCACCACATTTATCAGTTGACAGGTTTATATAATAGTATTATCAACTATATCATGAAGAAAACAAAAAGATGATAAATATTTTTGAATATTTTAAATGCAAAATTTATCTTCAACTTTTTCCGGTACTTAAATATTAAAATTGTAATTCAAAATATAATAGTAGAATTTGGATAGACTTGAATGAATGGTTATCCAATGCATATGCATGTTTATAAAATAATGCTATCATTTACATGCTTCTTTGTGTGTATCGTATTTTTCCAGTAATATTTTCTTATGAAAAATTATATTTGGTATTCTCCTAATACTAGTTTCCTTGGAAGCAATGGCATGTTCATTTTCGTTATTTTCTTTTTCTGGGTTCATTTTGGGGGTGTTTTGTTAAGCTTCTCTAAAGTGGCTAGTGGCTTTTGCAATCTTCAGGTAGTAATAGCCGTACATTTAGTGTGCTTAAGAACATATACTTTCTCCTTTATCCTCCATTTATTATAATCAGCTAGAGGACCAGATAGTGATGCCTTAGTGGTCATGAAAATGATCCCATTTAAGCTATTTTTAGTTAATATATGTTATAACTAACGAACTGCACATGCCACTGAATTCTTTAGAAAAAGAAGTAATGAATTGCCCGTGTAACGTTGGAAGAATAATGAGAGCTTGTCTGACTTTTCTTCACATCTGCGATGATGTTCTTTTGTTTGATTAGGTTCTTGCTGGAAGCTATTTCTCTGTGGCTGGAGCTCTTATTGGTATTTTAAAACCTGGAAGGATGAGCATGTTTGGCACACTACTTGTTGTTTGGGGCCTTATTAAGGAAGGGATACTTAACAAGCCAACAAAAGTGGATCCTGCAAAGGCAGTGTATGTCTACCCAACAATGTTACTAGCCTTGGTTTGTTCTTTCCTGTCTGTCAAGTATGATATAAAAAAAGTGACAAGAGGAGGTGCCCCAGCAAGACCTGTTGCAAAACCTCTCAAAAGTTCTTCAAAAGCTAAGCTGAAATGAGCATGACTTTCATGCTTTTGACGTGATACAAGCACACCATGCATATCCCCTCTTTTTGTCAGCATCGTTCTTTACTGCTTATGCAGTGCAGAGGTTTTATTCCTTTCTTTCGTTTTTCCTGTGAAATGTATTCATACAAGACTTGTTCGAATTGATGAAGTGTCTGGACATGTAATGTACTTACTGTAATACATATGAAGAAATTCAGAGGGTTTCTATGTGTTGCAGCCAAACGCATACGCAAGTGTACGCGGTCGACAAGTAATAACGAGTGAGTAGAGTATCGTTCCCACGAGGATTTATGATTAACTATCAATTAAATCAAACTAAAATAATTAATCTATTCAAGCGATTTTCTAAAATAATTATTTAACAATAACTAATCTAGAGTAGTAAACTAAGAAATTAAAGAAAACAAGTCGGTAAGCTTAGAGACTAATTCAATGAAAGAAAATATTCCAAGGTTATGGTTTAGCTAACAAACCTGTTGAGTCTTCAAGTTAATTTGTCTAATTAATTTAGCTACTTTATTGATTGACAAGGTTAATATTACTTGTGTCACGATCCAAAATCCCACCTTAGAAATTGTGATGGAACTTAGTCTTTACAACTAGGTAAGCTTATCACACAACATCCTCAGACAAGATATAATAATTCAATATTAAATAAAATTGAGACAAATGGCCCAAACATAGCCAAAAACATAGTATAGCTTTCATAATCCCAAAACCTGGTAATACGAAGTCATAAACTCTACGGAGAGTACACAAGATATTCCAAAATACAATACTATCATGGATTACAATTAAACAGTAGCATAAATGAAAGGGTGACTCTAAGGCTTGCGAACGGAACAACATGTATACCTTGAATTCTCCAACCGCACAGGCAATGCTCCCAAAACCAACACGATCTCAAGTACCTGGATCTATATAAAAATGTGTAGAAGCGTAGTATGAGTACACCACAACGATACCCAGTAAATATCAAGACTAAACTCGATGGAGTAGTAACGAAGTACAAGTCAAGACACTCACAAGACATGAAAACATGTGCAGACTATTAATATAAAGCTAACAACATAAAGTAAAAGGCAATAAAAGTACACATGTGATAAACAACAAAATAATCAAAATACAGTTAAAATTCAAGTGAAATAAATTAAGGAAAGCAATAACAGTAATAATCAAGCCGTTCCAATGCTGAATTTATAACAAGAAACACCCCGAGTTACCACACCTCATAACAAAAATCATAAGTCACAAATTACAACTCTTATACACATGGCACCTCGTGCCCACATTATCAATCACTTTTGCAAAACAAAGATCTCGTGCCACTGCGTATATCGTATCCGTGTCAATTACAAATAAAATGTTCAAAAAGTTCATTTAAATAAAGTAAAGCATCAAATGAGATAACGAGTTTATTTTAAGAATCAAACAAAGTAAAATATCAAATGAGATAATAAGTTTATTTTAAGAATCAAATAAAGTAAAGCATGATAACAATATCTTTATTTAAATCTATTATGATACCAACAACTCAACAGAATATGAGATAATAACTCCACGTAAGTAAATCCATCTTAACGACCAATTCATCACGTCACAACGGAGACACATATTAGCACACCAATACAACGCAGCTAATCTCGTAAAATGCATGACACACACAAGAAGTCAAAAATCGTTCCAACACAAAAATAACAATAAGAGTCACCCAAGGTACCGCACCTCATAATCACAATACACAAGTCACAAATCACAAATCTTCCTTATAACGCCGCGTGAGCCCTACATTTTAAAAATATTTTTCCCGAAATAGCTTCACGCGCTTTAGCCCCCTTATCTCGCTGCATGTCCATCAATATCACCACCCTTATACCGCCGCATGCGCATCTCATCACAACACAATAATCAACTCGTACCACACGTGCTCATATGCCACAACATTGCTAAAACAACAATACCGGTGTCACAAAAACACATAGCCCACGACTCAACAACAATGTGTACAGAAATTTCAACAACAGCACAACGAAACGGAAAGAATAAACTCAACAATGAAAGATATTCCATGAAATAACAACTTCAATTAAATGCATATTACCTAAGAGTCTAAATCGGTTAATTGCCACACATAAACCCATGCACACACTCTTCACCTCATGTACACGTCTTTCCCATAATTGAAATAATGCAATTAGACCAAATCCTACGGGGAAGTTCCCCCACACAAAGTTAGGCAAGATACTTACCTCAAATAGACCAAATCAACAATCAAAGATAGCTTTTCCTTTAAAATTCACCTCAGCTCGGCTCAAATCTGGCAAAAAATAATTTAATATTATCTAACAATGCAAGATAAACCAATTCCGATTAATAAAGTTAAGATCTTTAACTAAAATAAAAAAGTCAACTCGTGCTAGCACCTCGTAATCTGATAAAACTCACAAATTTTGAGCACTCATTTCGCTACGAGTCCAATCATACCAAAATCATCCAAATCCGACTTGAAGTCGGCTTTCAAATTATCAATTTATGTTTTAGAAAAGTTTTTACTAAAATCCCCAATTTCTCCAATTCAAATCATCAATTAAACAGTAAAATCAAGGTTGGAATCATGAAATATAAATAAATCCGAGTAAACAATACTTACACCAATTCAAGTAGTGAAAATATTCTCCAAAATTACCCAAAATCGAGTTCCAAAATCTTGTGAGAAACAATAACTAAATTCCGAAACAAGTAAAAATGCAGCAGCTGTCCCAGCCCGAATCAGATCCTAAATGATCCTGAAACTAACGTTTGATAAGCCCAAAAGGATACTTGTGAGATTACACCCAAGATAGCCTTTTTAAAATTTGAATTTGGCCTTAAAATTTGGGAGATATGATGTTTTGATGTTTTAAAGGAAGTTTGAAAATTTTAGGGACATAAATGGCTTTTTCGTAATTATTTGCATCAGAAAAAAAAACCAACAATAAGAAAATCTTAGTTTTAGCACCCAAAACTTATTTAGAACCTCCCGGACACAAATCATATATGCGTTTCAATTGTAAAACATGCTACGAACCTGCTTGCGCACTCAAAACACTGAAAAGAGGTCATCTTGACCCAATATTGGCCATGGTCAAACTCCAAATCCTTAACTAGTTTTTCAACCAATGATCCAAAATACACCCGAGCCCCTCGGGACCCCATCCAATCATACCAAAAAGTACAAATACATTATTCAAACTTATCTAAAGCCTGAAAACACCCACGGGAACATCACAACAAAGGATCGAGACTCAGACCGAAGTTGTTAAATCTTCATTCTTTCAAAAGAGTGCCCGAATCACACTTAACACTTCTGATTACTTCCAAACTTTGCACACAAGTTCAATTCAACTATATAGACCTATCCAATGTCTCGGAACACCAATTGGAGTCCAATAACATCAAAGTCAACTCTTGGTTAAACTTATGAACTATTAAGTTATTCAAATTGCCAACTATCGACAAATAGTGTCAAATTCTTCTAGGAACCCCTGAAACCAAATACAAATATAAGTACGAGTCCAAAATCACCACACAAACCTATCGGAACGATCAAAACCCGATTTCGAGTATGTTTACCCAAAAGTCAAACCTTGATCAACTCTTCCAACTTAAAGCTTTCAAATCAAGAGTCATTCTTCCAAATCAATCCTTAACCACTTGAAAACCAAAACCGACCATACACTCAAGTCATAATACATCATATGAAGTTACTCAAAGTCTCAAGCCACTGAATGGAAAGCTAAACCTCAAAACGAACGATCGGGTTGTTACATTCTCCCTCACTTAAACTTACATTCGTTCTCGAATGCGCCAAGAGTCATTCCAAAGCTATCAAATCACTGTATAAACTTGCTATACACATATCCATGAGTGATCCCACATCACCACTGAAGTGCAAGAGGGGGGATGTAACGACCCGACCGGTCGTTTTGAGCTTTTGCAATTCGCTCGCTAGTTCTCGGGCATGGCTAGCCCCGTCTGATGTATTATGACTTATGTAAATCATTGGTTCTGGTTTTCAGGATAATCGGAATAGATTTGGAAGAACAATTCTCAGTTTGAAGCTTTAAATTTGAAAGGTTTGACCAAGTTTTGACTTTTTAGTATACGATCTCGGAATTGGATTTCTATGATTCGGATAGCTTCATGAGGTGATTTGGGAATTAGGAGCGTGATCGGAATGTATTTTGCAGGTCCGTGGTAGATTTAGGCTTGAATTGGCGAAAGTGGAATTTTGGTATTTTCCGGTTGGTAGTGGAAATTTTGATATCGGGGTCGGAATGGAATTTCAGAAGTTGTAGTAGGTCCGTGGTGTCATTTGTGAAGTGTGAAAAATTTCAGGTCATTCGGATGAGGTTTGATGGACTTTTTGATCGAAAGCGGAATTTGGAAGTTTTGGAATTTCTTAGGCTTGAATCCGATGATGATTTGATGTTTTAATGTTGTTTTGAGTGTTCCGAGGGTTGGAACAAGTTGGAATAGTGTTATGTGACTTGTTGGTATGTTTGGTCGAGGTCCCGAGGGCCTCGGGATGGCTTTGAGTGGTTAACGAAAGGTTTAGAGTAGAATTGTTTCTGCATATTTTTCATCTTCTGTTGTTCCGCACATGCGGATTAGGGACCGCAGGTGCGAGGTCCGCAGAAGCGGTCATATAGCGTAGGTGCGCAGCAGGGGTCGCAGGTGCGGTTTGGTCCCCGCATCTGCGATGACCGCAGGTGCGGTCAGGCAACCGTAGAAGCGGAAATTGCCTTTTAATAAAATTTCGCAGAAGCGGAGGATTTTGCGCAAATGCGGCTCCGCAGATGCGCGATGGGGACCGCAGATGCGGAAGTGCTGGGCAGAGTGTATATAAAGGCTCCTTCGCAACTTTTTGGTCATTCTTCACCATTTTTGGCCGTGATTTGAGCTTTGGGCAGTGATTTTCAAGAGGAATCAAGGTTTCAATGGGGTAAGTTACTTGGGCCTTATTAATTGTGTTTATGATGAATCTTACATTGTTTAATCATGAAATTAATGGGATTTAAAGCCTAAAAATAGAGGATTAGGGCTTGAGTTTTGGAGAGCTTTTAGTAGTAATTTGAGGGGCCATTTGAGGTCGGATTTTGATGCTCTTGGTATGTATAGACTCGTGGGAGGATGAGGATTCTCGTGATGCGATTTTTATCGAATTCCGAGACGTG